ATGCTTGTTCTATGTCCCTATTCTACCTCAAATCCAGTCTGTCCAGGTGAGAGCCCATGCTCTTCATCACCATTCTCTGCAAATAGGACATTGTAACATAGAAAAGGAGGACAACACAGCAGAATAAAACAGTCCTTCCCAAGAAAGAGGTCTTTGCCAAAACTTGACACACTCTAAAGCACAGAAAAACATATCATGCAGCGGTTTGTAGTAAAAATTTAATGTAGCAATGGTCCTGTACTCTGCAGCTTGATGGTGTGTGCAAATAAAGCTGACAGCAGTTTTTCCTCCCCAGTCACAGAAGAGTCACTGGCCTTGGAGGTCTTTATCAGCTGGTTTTTAGGCTTGTGAGCAGCCCCTGGGGAATACCCATCTCAGCCTTTGTTTGGATGTGGCTTTGGGCAGGGAGGGGGTTAAAGCTGTACTGTCCCTGGGAGATGGGGGGATGGTCTGCACTTTGTGAGAAGTCTGGTTTAGGGCTGCAGTTGTGGGATCTGGGATGCGGGAAGGAAGTGTTTCCAGATGGGCCAGTAGTGTCTCTCTGAGTCTCCTGGGAAGGACGTGACAGGTTTGGATGTACGAGGAGGCAGGACTGTAAACACTCAGATCTCTACAAAGCGGCTGAGCTCTCTCCAGCAGGGAGGGAACCTTTTCAAGTGCCCCTTGCTAGCAGCCAGGAGCCTGGAAAACTAAAAGTGGCCGACCTCTCCTGACCTCAGAGGTGTTTTGATCTTTTCTGAGTTCCTTTGCAATCTGCCTTAAAATCTACCCTTAACAATACCCTTAAAATGACTCTAGACAAGCCATGAAGCAATTTATACACTATGCAGCAATTTATACCAGAAAGAGATTCCCTCTCTCTCATTCTACTATTTTTCATGTTTACAGAGAAAATTTCATCAGGAGCTGACCCAGAGTCTGGAGACCCTTTTACAACCCTCAATCAATTTCATATAAAGAAGTTCATGCAGCCAATCAGAGTGACAGTCTGACAGCTACTATATTAACATTTATTTAGAGATTTGCAGTTTACAAAGCATTTCTGTTGAAGACAGCTTGTGGAATGACAGTTGGTGGGGGCTGTAGGATGTTCCAGGAGCCCTCTTTGTACCGGGACAACCTGCATTAAGAACATGGTGGATGGGACAGGGAATATACTTTTGATTTAAGTCAAGTATATCAGGTTTTCCCTCCCAGATTTGGGAATTGCAACTGAGACCCCTTCTTAGTCTTAAGGGTTTATGTAAACTTGGGGCTGCAATGCGGCCATATTTTGCCATGTGAAGTGTTAAAAGACACAGGCCCAACATAGGGTCACTTCTGCTAGGCCAAGTCACCAAACAAGGGCCCAATACTGAAACCCAATTACAGTTTCAACCTTTCCCAGAAGTGTAGTCAGTCATGAATTTTCTGGTTAGCATCATTGTTAAAATAATCTGGCACATGAATATTCTCCATCTTCCTGAAAAGAATATGGGGTAATCTGCATTATAAGGCCCCCTGCTCTTCTCCCTAAGAGAAAGTGACTTTACCTGAAACAATCCCTTTTCTTTTGCTATAGCTCCCCCAGTTCCTGTCTATAAAAACTTACCATTTTTTGTACAGTTCCCAGGAGCATCTCTCTGCTTGCTAAAGGGGATGCTGTCCGATTCATGAATCACTTAACCAAGCCAATTAGATATTTAAATTTACCTGGATGAATTTTGTTTTTTAACAGATGGGAGAAACAGACCAAATCAGGGGCACATGTGTAGTTCCAGGGAGAAGCTTGCAGGCAGGAGCATGCTAGGTGCGATCCAGAAGCCAGCGACAGTGGTGTGGATAGGAGATGGGTTTGGGGGGATCCTGCAAAGCCTGGTCCACACATGATAAGGAGAGTGAATGTGTATTCTAAGTGGCAAGAGGAAATCATTAGATGAGGGAGTGTTTAAGCAGGAAAATGACAAGATCAATTTCCTTTTGGAGAAGTTGGCTCTGACTGCTGGGTGGACAGGGCAGCAAAACAGGTAGGAAGAGGCCCTTGCCTTGGTGGAGGTGGTAGTGCTGGGGTTAGGTGATTCTCTGGGGACTGTAGGGGAGGAGGGGAGAGGAGCAATTCCACTCTACCCCTCTTTTAGACAAAACAAGTAGTAAAAATGAAGTGCTAGAAGTGAGAAGGCCAATGGGGGCACAGTGGCAAGCCAGGGGCCGGGTGAGACCGGCAGGAGGGAGATGAGCCCCTGGAGTTCTGAGCTCCTCCCTAGGGTCACTGTCCAGTCACCATGTGCCATCACCCCATTCTGTCTGCCATTGGTATGGAAAAATGGGTTCCCCTGTAACCAAGTGAAAAAGTGGCATCTCTGCATTCACACTGTATTTGTCTCCTTGCTGCCTTAACCTTTGGGCCAAAAGGGGAAAAAAGAGGAAGAGGGCTTCTGCTCAACTCTGCAGCCTGCTTGTAGACTTGTTGATCATCAAAAGGAATTTTGCTTCAGTTTGAGATTTCTGCAAATAGCTCCTGACCCAAAGCTTGCCTCCTCCAGGAGGTAGCGAAGTATGTGCGCATATGACAACTCTCAGTCAGGGAGCTTTAAGAGCATTGTGACCAAACCTAAGTGGGCGTGAGTCATCTAAGCAAGGACATGGAGCTTCTCAGCTCTCTGCTGGACCCTCCATGGCGCCCAGGTGTCTGCAGCCTTCAGTCACCTCCCAACTTGCTCCCCATCCTGCTTGCCCTTCCCCTGACATAAAAGCCTGCAAACAACCCTGAGTTAAGATGGCGCTTTAGGACATGAGTCTGCCATCTTCCTGGTCAGCTGGCTTTCTGAATAGTCACTTTCCTTGCCCCAATATCTTGTCTCCCCACTTGCTGGCCTGTCGGGCAGTGAGTGTCACAAGCCTGGACTCATAGTAACACATCCATCCCCTTCCAGATACTTGAGCTGGGAATGAGAGGTGGCCTCTAATGAGGAAATTGCAGTTTTACAATAGAAAATAGCCATCTTTCGTCAACACTCCTCTGTGCCACAGACCTTAATGGTAATTTTAAAAAATCCGTACATAGGTAATACATCTATGCAGTAAAAAAAAAGGATAATCAGTAAATAGTCCCCCACCCTTGTCCTGAGATACACCATGCATTTACAAACATATATATATATATATATATATATATATATATATTATTCTTTCTTTACCCAAATGGTAGCTTACTTAATACATTCCTTCTGCACTTTAGCTTTTTACAATTAATTATAGACATTTATATGTAGAACTTTCAATGTCTACATTGTCTACATTAATAGATGGATGTCTGTGTCAAAACTTGTTTAACCAGCCTCTTCCATATGGAGACTTAGGATGCTTCCGGTCTTTGCTATTACAAACAAATTTGCAAGGAATATCCTTGTATAAATGTCATTGCTTATGTTGCAGAATTTAAAATTTTTATGTAGTTGAATTTATCATATTTGTTTGGCTTCTGAATTTGGGTCAAACTTAATAAAGCCTTCCTCTCTGTGATACTTATAAACAAAAAAGTACTTTTTTTTTTTAGTACTTCCATGATTTTACTTTTTATTTATGGCTTTGTTTAGGTTTTCTTTTGTGTAAGTGTGGTGTTGGCATTCAAGATTAGGCTCCCCTCGCCCTTATGCTCTGCCAAGCACTTCAACAGATTATTCTCACCACAGCCCAGACCCCCAGGTTACAAGTGAGAAAATAGAGGCTCAGAGTTGAGGCAACTCACTCAGGGAATGACTGGAAACTAGCTTGAAATCTAATGACTCCACCCAGGAGCACAACAAAAATAGCATTTATTTTGTGCCAGGAAATTATTTTTTTTAAAAAAACTTCCTATTTTGGAATAGTTTTAGACTTAAAGAAAATTTTTGAGAACAGTACAGAGAGTTTCTACACACAGCAGATACCTTTTCTCTGTTTATTATGATCTTATATTGATAAGGTATATTTCTCATAGTGGATGAAACAATACTGACACATTATTATCTGAAGGTTCTGCTTTGCTCAGACTTGCTTACTTATTACTGTTTTCGGTCCCACATTCCCATTCCGGCACCGCATTACATTATGCATGTCTCCTCAGGCTCCTGTTGACTTACCTTGTTTTTGATGAACGTGACAATTTTTCAGAATACCGATCAGGTATCCTGCAGAATGTTGCTCCGTTGGTGTTTAGTGTTTTCATATGATTAGACTGAGGTTACGGGTTTTGGGGGAAAAAAACCCACAGTTACAGCGTCATTCTGGTCACAGCATATCAAGGGTGCACACCATCAACACGAGTTATCCTGTGCACCCTGACCCTGATCATCTGTCTGATGAAGTATTTGCCAGGTATTATCCAGGTGAAGTCATCTGCTCATCCCCCGCCCCCGCCACCCGAGGCCCCCGCCACCCGAGGCCCCCGCTGTTCTCTGGAAGGAAGTCACTACTCGCAGCCCACGCTCAGAGCAGGAAGTCAGGCTACACCCACTTGAAGTACCTATATAAAGTATTTGGAATTCTTTTGCACAGGAGATTTATCTATACCTCCGCATTTATTTATTCAATCTGGCAGTTAATTTACACACAAATGTATATAGAATTACATGTTTTAATCATTTGACATTTATTTATAAGTGGCTACTACTTTTTAGTGTAAACTTGTGTGTGGATAGACGCATTGCAATGAGCCGTGGATATGGTGCAAAATTTGTAAGATAAACACATAACAGAGTGAAACTCCCCCGCACCTTTCTCATTCAACTCCCAGCTCCCCACTGGAAGGACAGATATCTTGCATTTACAAACATGCCTTTTTTTTTCTTTTTGTACTCAAATGGTAACTTACTAGAGACACTTGTTCGGCATCTTGGTTATTTTTGTTACTTTCTAAACTCTAGCAAGATTTCTGGGAGGTCGGCGCTTAGCTAGGCAGAGGGATGGCGCCTTCCCGAGTCTCTCCAGGCGCGCCCCGCATCCCGGCTCCCTGGGGACCCACGGCCCCCTGCCGCCCTCGCCGCCCTCGCCGCCCTCAGCGCCCCTCGTGGGTCCTGCGGGCTGCGGGCGTGGGCAGGGCCGGCTGCGCGCCCCGCCCCGGCCTCTGTGACGTCCGCGCCGGAACCTGGAATCCTGGCTCCGGGAGCGAAGGCTGGGAGGTGGCGCCGGAGCGGGTGCGCGGCGGCCTCTCGCGGGCGCGGGGCGCAGCTATGAGCGGGTCCAACGCCAGTGCGCTCCCGCCGGGCGAGCCCAGCAGGCAGCCCCTCTTCCATCAAGGTAGGCGGCGGAGACCGGTCTTCAGCCTGCTCCCCACCTGCCCGGCTTCGGCGGAAAGCAGACCTTTCTTACTCTTGCTCTCCCACACTCGGGAGTGTGGGGCTTATTCCAGCCCATCCACACTCGGTCCAGACGGCGCAGCCCTACCGAAAGTAGCACCAGAGTGGGAGACCCGGGGGCAGTGGGTTTGCGTTCTCATCACTGCCCGAGGGATCCGGGGCCAGGCTCTAAAGAACTTTATCTGTTATAGGAAAAGATTGTGAGATCCTCGCCAGCCCTAACATGCTGGTCCTGCCTTCCCAATATGTCAGGCTTTACAATTTGATGGGCTTGGCACCGAATCTTGCCTCGGCTGTTTATTGCTATGTGATCTTTGGTTAAGTGGCTTGCCTTCCCTGAGAATCGGATTCTTCGGTAGTGAAATGGGAACAGGACGTTGCGATTAGTTGAGAGGAAAATGTGTGAAGTGCCTTGCATGGTGCCTGGTACATAGAAAGACATGATAAAGGGTAGCCAGCCTAGTATTAGAATCTTTTTCTTTGGGTATTTATTTATAGCTTTATGAATTTTTACACAAATAGGTATTACTGCCACCCAGTAAAGGCAGAAAAGTTGCCAGCACCCAAGCAGACTTCTTTGTAGCATTTTAATCTTATATTTGCCCTCGAGACGCAAGACCCTGCTGTGAGTTTTATCTGTGTTTTCTCTATCTCAATTTGAAGACAGTGGCTTTGTTACAAGGGTTTGCAGTAAAGCATGAGGTAGATTTGGGCATGGGGGCCTTCTGATTGTATTGTTCTCAACATCTAGGAGGAGGAGGGAAAAAAATCAAACATCTAGAAGGATCACAGATCCTGGGAACTTGCTGGAATCAGAAAACAGAAGTCAGACCAGGCTTGATGCTAATTATTTTCTGGCTCATAATTGATACTACTGGCGTTAGCTTAACTCCAGTCTTTCAATAATAGCCATTCAAGCATTTTTCTAGTTGGTTCTACTTTTCTCCCTCTTATTTTAGCACAATCCATCACATTTAAGATGCCAACTCTGGTTTCCCATACAGAGGGTGAAATTCTTCGTTTTTAAATCTTTGCTGGGTGTTTAAGGGGACTCTCTAAGCATCTTTTTATGAAGATATATATAACTGGCCCTTCTGATCAAAAGATCTCCCCCGTTTCTCGAACAGATGATATTTTATAACCTTGTACCCACCAGCATAGCTGGGAGGCTCAGAAGGAACCGTGTTTGTAACTTTGTAGCACTTTGTAAACAGGGGCGCCCACTGTATGTGCGTCATGGGAGGACAGTTGGGGGAGGCAACTAGAGACAAAGGAGGGGTCTCCTTTACGGAATGGGTATGTGTGTCGTCCTAAACGATACAACACATCACACTGTTTCCCTTCTTAATTAAAACTTACCAGTGCCTTCCCACTGCTCTGAGAATAAATTCCAGGCTGTTCTTTGACAGCCAACAAGCCTTGGTGATTTGACCACTGATCCCTCCTTTGATCACTTATGACCCTCCTTTAACCTGTGAGCTGCAGCTGCACTGGCTGCCTTCCCATCCTTCCAACATATCAAGGTCCTTTGTGCCTCAGGGCCTTTGCATCACTTGTTCTCTTTGCCTGGACTATGTTTGTCTGTCTTCACATGACAGCCTCTTCCTCCTCCTGTCAGGTCTCTGCTTAGATGTCACCTCAGAGAGACAGACCTCTGGAGCCATCCTGTCTGAAGAAGTGTCCCCATCTCTCTTTGACCAGTAACCTTGCTTATTCCTTCAAAGCAACTGCCACCATCTGAAGTCATCTGATTTTACCGTTTCCTTGTTTTTTAAGTTGTGTCTCATTCTAGAATGTGGGTGCCATAGAGGCAGAGGCTTTGTCTTGTTCTCCTAGGACCTGAAACAGTGTCTGGCTGGACGATGCTAAGTATATGTTGAATGAGTGAACAAATGAAGTGCTCCTGCAGCTGCACTGGCAGCTGTAGTGCGGTGGTGGGGAATCTAGACTCCAGATTTCCCTATACAAATCCTCATTTTCCATTTACTGGGCAAGGTCTTTGGGCAAGATACTGAAGTGCTTGGTGCCTCTGTTTACTTATGTATTTAATCGAGATGATGATTATACCTAGTTCAAGGGTGGTTCATTGTAAGGATTAAGAGAGTTAACTCATGTAAAGAATTTAAGAAGTGCTTATATTAGTTATCCAAGCTGTTTAACAAACTATCCCAACATTTAGTGGTTTATAGCAATAATAATCACAGTTTCTATGGGTCAGGAATTTGAGAATGACCTGTTTGTGTGGTTCTAGCTAAGGGCCTCTTAATGAGATCATAGTCATGGTGTCAGCCAGGGATGTAATCCATCTGAAAGCTCACTTGGGGCTGCAAGATCCCTTCCAAGATGACTTGCTCATAAGGATGGAAATGAACACCAGCTGTTGGCAGAAGGCCACAGTTGTTCTTCTGTACAGGGACATGCCAGGAGACTGCTTGAGTGTCCTCCTGACATGGTGGCTGGCTTCCCCCTGGAGCAGATGATCCTAAGACAGCAAGGCAGAAGCTGTAATGTCTTTACTGATCTGGGCTCAGAAATCACATTGTGTTATTTCTGCAATCTTAGTCTCTTGGGTCAGCCCTGTTCATTGTGGAAGGGGCTTATATAAGGGCATGAATGTTAGGATATTGGAGAAGATCACTGGGGGCCAACCTGGAGACTGGCCACCCTGGAACCAAAAACATGTGGCCTCTGAGCAAGTTACTTCCTTTTCCGGGCCTCAATTTCCCCATCTATAACATGAAGGTTCTAATAGTAGAAGCTGGAGGACACCTTTATCCCAGGGCCTCTAAAAAGGTTTATCATGAGCTGGTCCCAGCCTACCTCTCCAGAGAGCCCTGACCCCTGCTGCTTCCCCTCTGCTCCACCCACCAGTCCCTCCCAGTGTTACCCTGCTCAGGTCTGGCACTCACTATTCTCTGGGCTTGGTATGTCCTTCATTGTACTCTTTCTGCAGCCAGCTCCTTGTTTTTATGGAGCCCTTCTGGCCTGGTGGTGAATACCAACGTGGCCAGTTGTTAGCTGTGTGACAAGTCCTGTTACCTCTCTAAGCCTCAGTTTTCTTATCTGTAAAATGGGGATAATCACACTCGTGTCTGCTGGGGTCACTGGGAGGATTTAATGAGATAAACATATCAGACTTAGCACCACACCTGGCAGGTGCTGGTAGCTGCTGTTGTTATTACTTCTGTTAGGGCCTTCTCCAGCCCTAAAATTATAAGATGCAGTGACTTCATGTGCTGTGCCCCTGTACTTCCTGGAGAAATGCTGTTAGATACTGTATAGTTATCCAATTATTCTTTGGGTTGCTTCAGTCCAATAGATTGTATTAAATTTGAACAAGCAACCATTCTTCCTGCAGTGTTTATTTTTTCCCCCTTACCTCCTAAGCCCATTCTTCTGGGTCACTCATCACTCTTAGAGCATCCTGGGAGGGGGAATCTTCTGTAGTTCTGGACACAGCTGGGGACTGTGCATGTCATCCTAGGCAACAGGGCTTCTTTGGTGAGCCAGCTATCTGACTTGAGTTGTTTTTCTCCTCTGTCTGGAGGAGTCTGAGTTCTGCCCAGCAACTCAGCCCAGATTAGGCCCAAAGGTCCAGCTTTTTTGTTTTTTTTCCAGGAAGTGAAGAATTTAGAGGTATAAAAGGGGGAAATGACTTCTCAGTGTTGTAACCTTTGATGCAATCTGGTTGCTTTTTAAAGGAGCAATGTTTGGGTGTGGGACCACCCCCAATCTGCAGGGCACCTCCGCCCCCCTGCCCTCAAGAGGAGGAGGGGTGGGGAGCTGACCCTGAGCCGTGAGCATGTGCCAGGCCTGGGATCTAGTGGCAAGAGAGGCAGACAAGGCAAAGGCTTCCAGGAAGCTTCCAGTCCAGCAGGGGAGATGCTAAACAGGTAAAGAGGAAACGAGAGTAGTTATGGATGACTGTAACTGCTGAGAAGGAAACAGGGATGAGATAGGAGAGGCAGGAGGGGCCTGCTTAGACAGGGTGCTCAGGAAGGTCTCTGAGGAGCACACTCCTGAGCTGAGGCCGAGAGATGTGAAAGAGCTGATCATATGAAGTGCATGTGGGAAAAGCCTTCAGAGGCAAGCAGGGCTGAAGGTGGGGTGTGTCCCAGAAAGCCTCAGACTGGAGCTCTGAGGAGGAGGAGACAGGATGAAGTCAGGCAAGCAGGAGCCTGTTCCTGAGGATCTGGTAGGCCCGGGTCAGCAGTTTGATTTTGGACTCAAACGTGTGGCTTCCTTGACTTCCTCACAGCAATTCAGTGAAGTAGGTGTTATTTGCTCATTTTACCTTGTGGCAACAGGCTTTCAGGATACTTGACAAGATACTGAAACAGGAGGACATTAGTGTTGTGATCTGGAGCTAGAGTATTCATTTGACAAATGCTTACTGAGCACGTATTACGTACAGGATGCAAGCTAATCTCCCAGGTCTCTGCCCTCAGGGATCAGACCTTGGCTCAACCTTGGGCCAAGTTCGTCTCTGAACTTTTCATATTGCAGTGTGAGAGTAATATGTAAGAAGAACCCATGAGATAAACTGTGAGGGTCACAGAAGGGAAATATATAAAGGGTTTGGCATAATCATGATATGTGGTAAATGCTCAGTAAAGGCTAGTTGTTACTGTTCCTTCTGGGAACACCAGAAATCCTTTTTGGAGAGATTCTCGCCAAGGAAGAGAAACTTCACAGAAGGAGTCATTTAATAAAGCCCATAGCAAGAAGCTGCCCCAGAGCAAACAAAATCTTCCTGTACATTTAGTTCATCAATAAGTAGTCAGAGTCATAGCCTACAGCCTTGGGCACTGCTCTAAGCCAAGGTCTGCAAACTACAACCCATGGGCCAAATCCAAGCACCGCCTACTTTTATAAATAATTTATTAGAACACAGTCATGCCCACTCATTTATGGATGTGGCTGCTTTCCTGCTAAACCACA